TTTTCAGGTACTTCGAGATCTAAGGGAAAGGGCCCGATATGATGGCGCAGCACGCACTCTCCAGTAGTTTGTTATGGACACTCTGATCTTTTGAATAATTTAATTGATGTAATGGATTTTTGAGAAACACTTTATGGTTGGAACTTACAATTAAGGAACATGGATTTCTTTTTAAATGAAATTTTTTATTTGAAAAATTGGGTTGTTGCATGAATTTTAACCAGAACTACTGTAACGAGTTTATTGACTTGAAAACTATGGAACTAATACTCGCATATTGATGGCGGGCTTATTGAAAGGCTTGCTTATATTCCATCTTACTAGATTATAATGAACACTAGGACATCTAATAGCCCTCTCGTAAGGCTCTAACTACATTACCTATATCGAGGTACAACTATTGTTCGAGCAATTCGTTCACGGTATATCGTGACACTTATGTAACTACTGGGATTTTGATGACAGGTCGCTCTTGTAATTATCCCCCCTCCTCGGGTCTGAAGACTCACAATCAATCCTTTGGTAGTCTTAAAGACTCACAACCATTATCTAACTGTCCTAAAGGACCTATTCATTCTCATTCCTTGAAATCTACTTATCACAATAGATCTTTGCCTTTTAACCTTTGAGACTATAACTGATTTAGAGGTTTTTAATCTACATTATACGATGCTAAAGTCTAACTATGTCTATCTATAATGTTAAATTTTGATCCTAGTTTTATATTAATTCTTATGTTTATCGACTAAAGGAATAACTAAACTAAACATGTAGTCTACCGTGAAGCCTAATATAACATTGAAGCATTACCATATGTTTAATGGGCATAGTTCTTGTCGAATGCTCCCCTCCTATAGCTCTCTAATCATACTTACGAAAACACTCTATCTCTAAGTTTGGTATATGTCTTGAGTACTTGACGCTTTTTATGGCAATCTATGCGACCTACGGAATTTATTATCTAACTAATTCTCAATGTATTTTTAAAGTTATATTTTTATAGGCTTAGACTGTTAAAGTCTGTATGAAAATCATAACTCTCTCATACAATATCCGTTCTCGACTGTCTTTATATCAGCGGATAGGTATTGACGAGATCTTCAACTCTCGTTTAGATTGTTTTTCCTAACAATCAAACGATCTTAATTTTGGTTTCTGTGTCGCACGCTGCTATGCTGCAACTTCTAAAAATTATAACTTCCTCTTATGAAGTCGGATTTGGACGCTTTCTATATGCACGCTCTCGGTTTTACAATTACTATGACTTTTTTAAGAATATTTATTATAAATCGTCTTCTATCAAAAACTTTTATTTACGTGACTGGTCGTGTATACTGTAAGGAGAAAATGGGGTGTTACAGAAATCTTTCACGGATCTTAAACATCTCTGTAGATTTACATATCTTGAACGCCTTGGGACTTTTCCAGCATATTTAACATATTTCAAACACTTTACACGTTTTGTCTGTTTCTTACAGTAAAATATTTAGAACATGTTTTTCTTTACATTCCATATATAATTGAAATTCAGAATATCTCAAGAATATAAAACATTTAAAATATTTAATTGCATCTATATTTTATCTTTAAGATCTTGATTGTTCTTCTAGATCTTCAGTATCTTTAAGATCTTGAAAATTCTTGAAGATCTTCAGTATCTTTAAGATCTTGAAAGTTCTTCAAGATCTTCAACACTTTTCAACATCTTGAGCAGATTACAATTTTTTTTTCCTAAATTCTTTTGACAAAACATCATGCCTCACATACTAATTTAGTTACAAAATTATTAGTTAGATTTTTGACCAAAACACCTGATTATACCAAAAATGAATTGATGGAGAACTTTGGTTCTAAAATTAAACTGAATCGTCCATGATCTTTCTATTAAAAAACATAAGATAAGCGAGACACAAATTGTACATGGTGTCATTGATCTCATCTATTGTAACCATAGATTGAGGTATGTCACCTAACCAACCCTCCCTATTATAACACTAAGGAATTGATTGTTCATTCTAGACTGAAACTTAGGATATATCAATCTATATCAAGCATCAGTGGTCGAGTTATTCTATCAAGCAAGCCATTCTCTAATAATTATTTCAAGAAGGGGGAGAATCACATGTTGAGGGAGAGCATAAAAATTTGAGGCACATGTTGAGTGGGAGCATGCATCTTCAGAATCATCTCAGCTCCCTGTTGAGTGGGAGCATGGCATCAAGAAGCTTCATGAAGACCCGTAGAAGTCCAAGCCCTGAAGAATGAAGATAACATCCTTACGTGTTAAGGATTGTTTTGAAGATTGGATTTCCATAACAGAAGTCTCCCAGTTTGTATAGGATTGTGTTTCCATGTTTATCTGTCATGTATATAAGGATAAATCTTTAGGTCGTTTGTTATATATTGATACCCAATTGTGTAAGCGGTTATCGATCAAGAGTGTGTATGTAATCAAAGTTTGTTCTCTGATTACAAACTGTAATCAAGAGTGTGTATATAGATAGTATTGTGTTTCCATGTTTCTCTGATTACATAATATTTTGGTTTCATTACTCTTTCCTGTTATTGTTTCTATTCGTATTCTTTACTTGTTGAATTTGTTGGTTAGGGACCAACATGGGGTAAAGCCATTAAGGTTATTCATGGAGTTGGGATGATAAATCAACTCCATGATTTTAGCGTTATTCCGTAGTATTTAAAGAGTTGTGTGAAATGGTTCAAGTATATTTTTATGGAAAGAGAGGTGGGTTTGAGATGTTCCTTTAATGTATAGTTTCCCTGGACTCTTCCTTTTGGAAACAAATCGGATTGTTTGGTTGTAGATCGTAAATAAGAAAACACATGGGAGTTAGATGGCGGCGACATCTTAGACGTTGAGCCGACACAGATCGAATGGAAAGGTTGTATAAAGTCTTGCAGAATGTCTCTTTTTCAGATCATCGTGATGACTAGAGCCGCAATTTGAATAATACAACTATTTTACGATAAATTCGACAAGAAAAACTATAGATGATGTAAATCATCCTAATAGTTCGGTGATCACGAGATGGAATAAATTCACCCCTAAAAAGTAAACATTTTGTTTGGAGAACTCGTTTGATAAAGTGTCTTTGTGTGCAAACTTGGTGGATAGAGGTGTAGAAGTCCCTTTCTCGTTGTGCCCGATTTGCTTGAATTCTTTAGAGTGGATTGACTTATTACATCTCCCGGGCATGAAACGCAATGCAGTGGATGTGATAACTATGAAAACATTTGGTACTTTCGTAATTGCTTGGTGTTTGGGACGCGAAGGATGAGATGTGATTCGCTTTTTGCAGCAATTGGTAAATTTCCGTTCACTTGGTTTGTGAATAGGAATAGTAAATTAAATTTTAATTGGGCCTCGTGGGTTCTTATCTTAATAAGAGGAGGCTATTCATATCATCATATGTAATTGTTTTTTTTTTCTTTTTCTGGCTTTTATATTTATGTATAATCATTGAGGTGTTCAAAAGAAAATAATTTTAAGTTCGATTTTTCTTATCCAACTATTTCACAAGATGGAGGTGGGTAACCCCTTTGATTAATGTTGCATTAGTGAAGACGGGCTCATGTGGCCTACCATATTCATTGCCTTACAATAATAGCATTCACCTCGATATCAAACACTTAAAGGATATGACAATCAAGTCCTTTTGAATCATAAGTGACAATTTAGGTGGGTCGGATAGAATCATCAATAATAATTGATCGTTAAAGAGTATTTTAAAAATAATGAAATCTATTTTTATAGCAGTAGGCAATACAACCTCCTTGTCAAGGCTGACATTATGGGTTACATAATTCTTCTATCGATAATTATATGTATTGTGTGGTAGCCAAAACAATGGTGGTATTTTTATCGTTTGAAGGTAACCACTTTGAGTTAGGTCTTTCTTTGTTCTTTTTCAAAGTTAATATTTAAATGTGAACAAAAACTACCAATAAAGGCCCAATATTTTTGAATAAATCAATTGAGAAGGTATCCTCCCTCCCTCACTCACTCACTCACTCACTCACTCACTCACTCACTCACTCTCTTTGTTTTAAAAAAAAGATTACTTATTGCTCCGTCGCGCAGCATTTGGCTCTTCGCAACCGTTTGTTTTTCAGAAGACTTCTGACTTAAAAACTGTTATGCGTGTGCTGCGTGACACAGCAGACCCTCTGCTTCAAACATCTTCACTCCTTACTTTAACCTATTACAGCAGTCTACAGATGTTAAAAAACAAACAGACTTATTATTACATGCTGCAGCCGTTTGGTCCAAACAGACTTATTATTACATGCTGCAGCCGCAGAGGATTCCAGAGGTGATCCGCAGACGTCATGCATTTTCGCTTCGAAGAAACAAACGGCACCTCAATCACTCACTCATGGGGTGCTTGAGCATACCATGCCTTCAACTTTAGGCTATTCTCTCACCACATCAACACCACATCAGCATACTTTCCTCACACCCCACAAAAGGACTACTTCCTAAAGCTAGTGATACAAATCTTAATGTATGAGAAAAAAAATAGAAGAGAAAGAAATAAAAGAAATGAGGGGAGAAGGGTTCGGTGGTGCCTGCCCACTCGACCTCCTCAAGCTCGAGGTCCAAGCACCTAACTGTCATGGTATAGCCGAACTGACCCCGAGCTCTACATAGTAGTTATTAATTTCTACAATTTCCAGAAAATACTTGACATATAATCATTTTTTGAAGACCAGTTTTTGTCCTAATCCTTAACCAGTCCATATCAAGTCCTAAGTTTCAAAAAGATTAGTCATAATCATTGGTCCCAATCTTATTAAATACACATCACAATCAAGTCTTAAATAGTCGACATGACACTCAACCTATAAAACCGAACTTATCTTTTGGAAATTTAAACAAGTTATATCTCAATAGACATTTTAGTAAAATTAGTTAGTATTAAACTTAACGCAATATGATGTAATGAAAATATATATCCATTTGCAAAAAGAAACAACGAAAACTTGAGCTTATAATAGAGTTTTTTTTTCTTTTTTTTTACTTCAAAAACACAATAACATCTCAATAACAACTGTTGGACAACAAAAGAAAGCCATTCATTCCTATTTCCTTTCTTTACCCATTTCATTCATTCATCTGAAAACCCTAGAGTTAATTTTTTTTTTTTTTGTTCTTTATTCTATTCACAAGCTAATTTGGTGTCAAAGCTGCTTAAACAAATAGCAAAAGCTTGAAATGCTGATAAAGGGTACCGATAATCCATGGTGAACATATCTTTCCCAACTTTACCAAACTGCAATATCACTTTCTCATGCTCCGGCTGCCCCCCTGCCTGAGCCTGAGAAGACGACGAAGGTGGTGGTGCCGCCGCCACTACTGGCGGCGGTTGGGCGGCGATCAACTGAAAGTTTTTCACAGAAGCAATCGTCACCCGCCCTTTGAAATTCAAACACCAGCATTGCAGCTGCTCGTGCCACCTAGGCGCCTTGTTCTTCAACACCAAGGGCATTTTCGACTTTTCACCATCCGGAACATCATTCGACATGGCGGCACCGACGATTTCGGAAAACCGGGAGCTGCTGAAATCGGTGGAGCGGTCGAGGGATTTCGAGAAGGAAATGCTCCGGAAAGAATCCGATAAGGAATTCGAATTTGAAAGAGGAGGAAGGAGGGCCTCTGGCTGACCTGGCACGGTGCCACCTGGCACGAGTGCTGACGTGGGTATCGAGTGCATGATGCAGTGCATCCTACGTGGACCCCGTGTACCGAGTACATTGAGTTCGTATTTGATATGGGCAATATTGTAATTTCCGTTTGGGACTTTCGGTGAGACTTTTTTGGTGTAAAATCTTCGACTCGATCTGCCAGGTGGCGGGATTGAAGCCCTGGAATGCGGGGGCTGCGTGTCGTATATTATAAACTTTGTTCCAAGAAAATTAGATCTGAAATATAAAAACAGTAAATTCAATTTCTCTTTTTACTTAATAATAAAAAAAATAAAAAACTCTATACCTGAGTTTTCCAATATAAGTGCTACTTGATCTTGAAATATTTTCAGCATCCATGGATATGACATATTCAGTGCAAGTAGTTCTTCGAGTTCTTTTAGCAGATAGTAAAAATTTACCATTTTCAACTAGCAATGCTGCTGTAAAAAACCAAATTTCAGTAACTTTTTTAAGAAAAAAAAAATTATAGATTTATATCAACCAATTTATAAGCTCACCAGGGGTAAGGCAAAGGAAAAGATGATATGTCAGATTGGATTTGTCCCTCTTAATGAAACATTGGATAGTGGTGTCACGTGGTCCCGGCTGGATAGGTAAAAAAACAACCATTAGAAACTAAGACTAAATGCAAGAAATAGCAATTTACTTTCATTTACTTTAAGACATTATAATTTGAAAAATCTAACCAATTATAAATTATAAATTTATAATATTAAATACCTGTTTTAAGGAAACCGGGAAAGTGAGCTTCCCAGAGGATTCAGGGGTTCTGACAATTTCTTTACACATGCTTCTCCAAGATCTACAAACAGCAGCACAAGCCACCACATGTTTTCTTTGAGGCCAAGTACTTTCACTCTCTTCTAATCTTTTAATCACATCACAGAGAAGCTCAGGTGGAAGATTAGCCCACCTACTGTTTTGGACAACAATGGAGGCTTGATTATCGCTTGAATTTGAATCATTTACAGATCCTTGAGATTTTCCTCTTACATCAAAACTCCGCCTTGATATGCTCCCAAATCCATCTCTCACATCACGCATTATACTCCGGAACGACATTTGGAAAGAGGAAATGAAAGGGGAGTCGGTTTTTTATGGAGATGAGAAAAGATTTGACATTTGAATCTGGCAAAATAATCAGAAGATTGTGGAGTGTTAGTGGGATTAAAAAAGTGGAAAAAAAGAAAAGAGATAAGAAGAAAAGAAGGTTTCACATGGTGTACCTTTATCAGGGACTAGACTTTTTCTATTTTTAAAACATATGCTTTCTGGTTTCAATTTAAAGTTGGTCAATTTATGGAACTAATCAGCGAAAGAATCCTAAGAACTACAAAGTTTTGAGTTTTGACCCTTTCATCCGTCATCACGTGAGTGAAACTGGTCTTGTATGCATATAAATTATACGAATTTAGAAGGGAAGATTGAAGAAGGGTTTTTGGCAATGAAAAGGTTGAATTAAAGTTACCAGGAATTTTGAAATTTTTTTTTTTCTTGTTCTTGTTTTGGAAACTGGGAATCGACTAGATTCTCATGTTTCCCAAACGAATATCATCAAAGTACAACTGTGAAAAGTGAAAAAGAACTGAACTTAGAAAAAGAAAAAGAAAAGAACACTCGAAAAACGAACCTGATTATGGTAAAAGCTAAAACACCATCGAATCAGCACAGCAAAGAGCTTGCGATGAAGATCTGAAGAATCCATGTGAAAGTATAAGCAAAATGTCAACCGAAAGATAAAACCCATGAAATCAAAACCACAAGCTTTTCCGTGCGGAATCGCCGATTATATAAAGATGTTGATTAGAAAAAGGGGGAATTTTTTATTTTTTTTTCGATTTCTTTCTCATCCAAAAACCCATATTGGGTTCAAATTACAGTAAATAACGAACAAATTATGAATAATAATGCAAGATCAGAGATCTATACGCCTATACCTTATGCGAACAAAAAAAATTCTCGAAACCCTTCAGTAATCTGATGATGGGTGCAGATATGTTAGTCGTGTGCGTCTATCCGAAAATCTTTCTGTGAGAACTTTCTACAAACAGATGGAAGGCAAGAAATAAGCAAATCAGACTCAAGACCAAAAGGGAAGTTCACAACATCTCTCGAAAACCCTCACCGGACTTAAAACCAACATTAGATCTAGCTCAACTAACAGGGGAACAAGAAAGGGGGAAAAGTAAGAAAAAAGTCTATGGTGATTAAAATATTGATTCTTTTAAATATAATCATATAAAACTAAGACTAGTAGTGTATATTTTAATGTGAATCGGAATAATCAAAGAAGGGTGTGACATAAACAAAAACAGATAAACATCATCAATGATTTATATAATACCGGCTGCTGCTACAGATGCAGATAAGTCGATGATCGAAAGCAAACACAAACACGCATGAGGAGATTATGAAATTGGGACTTTTCTTGGCAGTTTCTTGTTTTGTTGAGGAAGGAAAGGAAACTCGAGTGGGGTTGGTGCGGTCCTTGCCTCTTGGCCATTTCCCTGCGTCAACGGTACTTATTATGACTCCCAACAATCAACGGGAACAATTGAATGCACGATGCACCCCATCAAAGTTTATTCAACAAATAAAAATATTGGGTTGAATGTGATATTATTTTTGAATTGACAATTTGTTATTGTTATTTGATATGATATTTTACTTTTTATTTTTAATAATATTATCAGATTAATGATTTCATGTTTAACAAGTAAACTAAAAGTAAAATAATTTTATAGATCAGAATCAATAGTAGGGTATTAAAGGTCAATGTTATAAAAGTCATATATTTTAAGCATCATTGGCAATTAGCATCAACAATTTTAGGGGGTGTTTGGATAAATAGTTTTTAGCTTATTAGCTTATTGCTTATTTGCTTATTGGGGTGGGAATAAACACTTGTTTAAAATATGTTTGGATTAGCTTATTGCGGTGGAAATAAGCAATAATCAATAAGCATGTTAAGTGTTTGACAAACAAAACAGCTTATATGAGTAAAATGACCAATAAACAATAAGCAATAACCATTCCCCCCTGCTTATTAAAATCAGCTTATTTGGCTTATTCATACCGCAATAAGCTGATTTTTAAAGACTTCTATCCAAACACTTAAAGACTCTCTTGCTTATTAAAATCAGCTTATCTGTCATTAGTTTAGGAAGCCCTTAAAAATAATAAATTATAAAATATTATATGGATCATAATATTTTATAATATTTTATCTTCGTTGTTTCAAAACTGATAAATGTCATTATAGTTGGTTAATGTTTGGCTTCTGATACCGATTAGGTACTTATTTGTTTTTTTTTTTCGCACAATAAGTTATTTAAGTTTTATTTGACTTGTCAATTAAGTCATTTAGACGCAATTTAGCATGCTAACCGGTTTTGGGACAAGTGGAAGACAACTCATCCTAAGTGTGTTTACGATGCATCGATTCCAACTATAAGGTTATTGCCTTATATTGATTGTCTTCTCATTCCTTATTCTCTTAAGCTACAAAAAAAAAAAAAAAAAAAAAAAAAAAAACTTAATATGACATCCTTAAATTTCACGGACAAAAAAGACCGATTTATTTATACTTATTTAAATCAAAGTATCATTTTTAAAGATTATTATTGTGAAATTTGTTCCAAAAAATATGATAATAATATTATCAAAACATTTCGAATAAATGTATTTTATGTATATTGAAAACGTTGGCATGTCATCGTCAATACAGTACATAAGCATAAACGAAAATAATACAAGCCTTACACTAGTTTATATAAACTATGGGCCTATAAGCGTCCTTAAATCGCTCATCATAACATCACACTTGTGCTCTCGTGCCACTACCTGTATTATAAGAAACTGAGTGGGTCAGACTTGGGGTCTGCTGACCACATAGGGTTTTCAACCCATAATAATTAATTTAATTTCATCAAAACATTCAATCTGATTACTCATTCTCGTTATCCTCACTTCTGTCCCCTAAAGCATCTAATTCAGGGACCTATCATAAGGAATTTTCTTCGGGATAGACAATACTGCTTAGGGGATACCTTAGCAATATATGTCAATAAGGCAATTGGGGGGGATGGTGTACACCTGGTGAACACTTAGGGGTTATTTGGCAGGATCTGAATTTTTAAGAGATCTGAATTTCTAAGAGAGTCTGAAATTTTAAGAGCTGAATGTTTAACATGTTGTTTGGTTGGGACTTGGGACCTCTGAATTGTTGTGTTGAATTATTAAAATGATCATTTTACCATTCTGTTTTATTTTTTATTGAATTCAAGTGTTTGTTTATAAAATAACCTAATCAATTTCTTAAATAAGTATAAAAAAATATAAACACCATATAAAATCCAAATTTAGCATAAATCAAAATTAAACACAAATGCAAATCAAACATAAATATTTTTAAATCCACAAAATCATACTAAAATCCAAATAAAATCATACAAATTTAATTTGACCCCAACTGATTCGCAATCTGGTCACACAAATTATCCATGTATTAGTTGCCTTGTGGACCCCATTCCATATCGTATACGTTTTGGCCATCATTCTCTCCCCATTGTGTTTGACCATTGTTCTCCTCGAACGCCATAAATAACTCATCATTAATATTGCATTTCCTTATGAAATTACGGACTGCAAAACAAGCAACGATTATGTCTCTTTGCACTGAAAAAGGAAAAGGAGCCATTTAATTTAGGATTGGGAATCTCGCATTCAAAACATCGTAAGCGCGTTCAATAACATTTCTGAGTTGCGCATGTGCATGATTGAAGTTTTCTACCTTAGTTAACGCACGTCGTCGTCGATAATCAGATAACCAATACATCGTGTTGCGGTAAGGAGTCATAAATCCACAAGTGTTGGTATACACATGAGTGAAGGAAGTATTATATCTAGAAATTTTAAATCGCATTTCAGAATAAATTTAAAAAGAATTACAAACCTGGAGGAGGGAACAGACAGCCTGAAGTCGGGTTAAATGCAACTTATTTCAAAAATCGCGAATCATGTGTTATGCCCTCCCAACCGGCCCATACGAATGTGAATATCATATCAAAATACAAATTCCTAAAACATTTTGAAAGCATTCACCTTTTCTTCTTCCCCTGTAGCGAGTTTGTTGATCAGCAGGCACGACTGCATGTACAAGAGTTCCATCTAACGCACCTATTGCTCCAGGAAATATTTCTTTTAGCCTACTATGTTGTTCTGAGGAATTCACGGTTGCATTATAATGCGTTGGCACAATAACTTCTTTTGCAAATGATCATTGCATTTAGTACCTCATGAAAGCATCTATGAACAATTTCTGTGGAGTGTTGAAACCTTCGTTTGATAATCCTGAATCGTTTATTATGTGCTATAGTTGTCAAGAACATAGGCATCTTTTCTTCAATGCTTATATGCCTACTACTTTGCAACCAATTGTTTCGTCTAAAATGATTGCATAAAAGTACATACGCTTCACGTGAAAAACGCATCAGCTCATGATATTGTGTAGAAGTTCCATGTAACAATTCTTGTGTATATTGATGATCGCTCATTTCCAAATCATATCAATTGCTCTTCTAACTGTATTGGATGCTAGATTCAACCAATAGCAACATAGTAAAATGAAAAATGCAATTTCTTCATCCGGGGCTTACCCAAACTTGAAGCCCAAACTCCTAAACCCAACAGGCTGAGTACGCGGGGCGTACCCAACTGTACGCTCAGCGTACTCCGCCTTGACCAAGAACGCGATGCTGACCACCTACGCCCAACGTACGCCCTGGTACGCCCATCATACGTGGTGGCCATGCAAAACTTTGAATAAGAGCTTATTCCATTCAGTCCAAACGTCCAATAACCATATCCAAGTCCAAGAAGGTGCTCTTAACCATAAAGTTTCCAACTTTATGGTTATGCATGCATTATTAAGACCCAAAACAACCTCCTAGCTGGTCTTAACCACTAAGGACCTCTACACTTTTCATGCAAGCACTAAATAAGGCAAGAATGCATTTTTATGACTTGACACAACTCAAATCTTCTAAAAAGGTAGCTCCTTTGGTCTTAGAGTAACATTTACTCATTAAGTCCAAGAAAAGGGGACAAACTCATAAAACTCCATATGGATAGATCTCTAAGAAATACAAGTAAAGTTCAAGACTTTATACCTTCTAGAGCTTCCTAAAGAGATGAAGATCTCAAATCTACAAGCTTGAATCCCACACCAAAGCTTCTCAAAGAACCCTTTCATCTTTCTTCAACACTAAGAACACACACACACTCAAGCTCAACACACACAAGGGCTAGGGCTTGCAAAATCAACTCAAAGAGGGTGGAGGCTAAAAGGGTGAGGGAAATGAGGTTATAAGGGGGATTAAGTAGGGATCAAACCTAAAAATTAGGGTTTTCAATGTCTGATGAGTATGCCCCGCGTACTAGGGCGCGCCCTAGTACGCTAAGCGTACACACGTTCGCATGGCGTACTCCCATTCCTTCCAAATTACGGTTTTTCCATTAGGGCTTCTCATTGCTACTTCCTTCTATTACAGGGACCAAAATGGCATAAATTAAAACCATAAGGATGAATTTGAAAGCACCTGAATACCAGGGTGTTACATAATCCCTATTTAATAGATAATTGTAAAGTTTAATGGTCTATTACGTAGAAAAAAAACATAAGTAACTAAATAGGACCAAACACAAAATTTTATTGTGTTACGGTGACATTTTTCGCATTTCCAAATATAGAGACTTTTGTAAAAATTTATTATAAATATAGTGATTTTGTGATAGTTATCCAAAATGTAGTGATTTTTATGAAGTTTTCATTAATGGCCACATTGATAAAGTAATTATCTTTAAAATTAACTATGTTTTTTAACAGCTTGAAAAATCAATGAATATTTAGTTTAAAGAATATTTATGCTTACTAAATCATAATCCTTAGTTATATTGATTATGATACATTATATAACGGAGAAGGCATGAGATGTGAACTTGACACCTAAAAGAGTACATTCATTTGCAAAGGCTCTATGGAATCTTCAAAATCTATAAATGACAGATGATACTGATCAGCTTTTGATATTTATTTTGAGGTTTATTTTTTATACTTAAAAATGTAATGAAAAAGAGGATGAATTTTTTTAACTATATGAATTTAATGCATATCTCATATGTGTTTTCTTGATTCTTGATCATTTTTTTCGTTAATGTTTGTAGCTTTAATGTTGGTAGAGTAAAAGACGGCTTCCTTCCTTCCTTCAACTATGTATCGCAATAAATTGTCGTCTTCTATTAAATTCTAAAGTTATTATCATTTACAAATGAGATAATTCTCTTAATAGGAAAAGTTAATATACTCTTAACGGTATATAACCTTAGGTACCCAAACTTATCATAATACTTCGTTTTTTTTGATATATTCATTATAATGTTCTTAAACTTTAATCCCTAACTTATTTACTTTTAAGATTTTCGAAATTTCAGTGTTATATTCTTCTTACATCACATTTTTTTACTGAACACCTAGTAGACTATATATATTATAGTTGAAAATGAAAATTATGCAATAGGACGATGAATGTGAAATTTATAAAAATCTTGGAAGTAAATCAAGTTAGAAGTTGAATTATAAAAACATTGGACAATTACAATGTATATATGATACAAAACGACGTAGTAAAGTGAGTGTGGGTACCTAAATGTATATACCCTTAAAGGGTATATTCACTTTTATATATATATATATATATATATCAGTTTTGACACTTAAATATGATATCACCAAATAGTGTCACGTCATCATGTCATGTCACGTCATCAAAATCTGACAAGTTAGTATGTCATATCAGACCAGTTTGGTTATCCGGTTAAATAGTCAGATTTATAACAAATTAATAAAAAAATCCAGTTTGAATAATAAAATCATGTTATTAAAGTCGATTCTTTATAAAATTTTATTCCTTTTGTGTAATTTGCAATAATTAATTTACATGTTAATTAAATGTAAAAACCAAATATAGCAATAGCCAACAAATACATCACTATCATAGTCATTCACCAAATTTCTCCCGCATTAATCCTGAATTACTAATTGCTCAAACAAATTATTCTTCTAGAAAGATTTGACATCGTTATTGGTCTCTAATACAAATAAAATAAATTTAACACATTTAAGGCATGTGTACACACGATAAAAGGCAATGCTAGAATCGCACCAAAGTGGAGACCGTTTAGAGGTTATAAAATAATTTGATATGAAAATAACTTTTAGTATAGGATTTCTTCGATTATTTTAAATTATTCTTATAATGAAGTGTTAAAGCCCAACCTAATTATTCGATTAATGCTTTCAATAAAAGGCGCAATAGTTTATTAATACTTTTAATAGAAAGCTCAATTATTTAATCAATGTTTTTGATAAAGTAATATTTT